GAGAGAATGCCAAGAGTGTGCAAAGCAGTAATCAGAGCAAAGGGTGGCTATTTTGAAGAAACTAGAATATAAAACATGTTTTCAGTTATTTCACCTTTTTTTGTTAAGTACATAACTCCACATGTGTTCATTCATAGTTTTGATGCCTTCAGTGAGAATCTACAATGTAAATAGTCATGAAAATAAAGAAAACGCATTGAATGAGAAGGTGTGTCCAAACTTTTGGCCTGTACTGTATACACACACACACACACACACACATATATATATATACATACACATACATACATACATATATTACATTAAATTTACAGTCCACAACATTAATGATAGTAACTGTAACTAATGAATCCTTGTGCAACCATGTGAGCTAGCTAACGCTTAATTGCTGTGTGGCACTTTTTTTTTTCCATTGTGCCGCGGTAAGGTGAACTAGTTAGCTAAATATGTCATACTATTGACACATATTGGCCAATAAGCTATATCATGTGTATGAAAGTTCTTGTGAGCAACAATGGATGGTTTTGTAACTTTCTGGGCTCTGACACACCACCCACCTCAGAAACCATCAGCAAAAGTGCAGATGGTGAGGCTAACGATCTTAGCCATGCTACATCTGCTGCTAACTTAGCAGCTATCTGCAAGCAGAAATGAGAGAAGGCCCAAATATATTCAGAGAATTATCTCAAGTGCAACTTAATTATATACAATATATGTAGTAGGGGGTCACTGATCTGTCTCCCTCTCTCTCTCTCTCTCAGCTAAGGGATTCTTGGTCTGAAAAACATTGAGGACCCCCTTTATGGTGTTCAGGGTCTTCCATATTGACAAAATGAACTGAATATCAACGAAATAAATATTCACTGACCTTATAGATTTCTGGTTCCTTAATGTCCAACTTGGTCAGATTCCACAGCTTCCTGGTGTGTCTGGTATGTCTAAAAGTACCACCAGAAGGTTTTGGTCCAGTCAGCCACACAACACCAATGGCTAAAAAGAATCCCAGCCCAATCCCAAGCAGCATTCCTCCTATATAATTGGGCAGAGGTAAAACAAAATACCCATAGACCAATATAGTAAGGATGATGAGAGTATAGTGTGGAACACTAGGTGCCGGTTCAATACTTTCAGATTCATCTTCACTGCATGGTTCAGTACTACCACTTAGTGGCACTTTAGTTTGACTCCCAGTTCCAGTATCATCCGTTCTATCACCACAGTCACCTTCTGTGTCAGTACAAGTCTCAAAGTCCTCACTGTACAGGATGCAAAAGTCCTCATCCTCTTGTTTAGCAAGAGCGGACATGGAGCATTTGTCCAAGGACATGGAAAGTAAGGATTTGTTTGGGCTCTTTGTGTCAACAGAAGAGGCAACAGGTGATTCAGCTTGACCAGAAGCCCTGCTGTTAGGGCTTTCAGCCTCAAAGTCACCTCCTTCTTCCTCCTTGATGCAGTAATTGTTGTTACTCTCCAGGTGACCATTAATAGAGGTAATATTGGAGAGTTCTGAGGCACTGGCAGAGAGGGCCTTGGGTCGGTAAATACTGCTGCTAACTAAGCTGCCACTCTTTTCATCCATGATCTTACTTAGCAGCTGGAGAGGTTCGGAGATGGCCTCAGAGAGACGTCGCTTAGTGTCTTCAATTCTTGCCTCAACCTCTGAGACTTTGAAGAAGCTGCGGTTATCTGGAGAGGTTAATGGAGAGCAAGGGACAGTTTTAGTATCACCAGCTGACATTGTGGTAGCAGGTGGTATCCGGGACTGTGTGAATTGTTTGAAGAGTTGCAGGTTAAGGCGTGATTCTGGAAGACGGTAGGGTGTGGAGGAGGAGGATGAGTCCTGGGATGTATCTGAAGATAAAGATTTGACAAGAGTCTTCATCAGGTGCCTGTGTCTTACTGTGGAAGTAGCAACAGAAGGGATTCCATCACGAGACTCAATGTCAGAGGAGAGAGACTTCACCAAGCTGAGGAAGGGTTTGTCACTGGAGGGGAAGCTCAAAGATTTAGTTGGAGAGGGATTGGTAGTCGTGCCTTTTTGCTCAGAAATACATGATGATGAGGTTTGTGTGGGAGAATGGTTAGTGTGATGTCTAGAAACTGGAGAAAATCTGGATGATTCAGGCATGACAGCAACCTCAGCTGCAGCGTCCAATGGCACCCCTTCAAACATTTCCTCACTTGCTTCTAAGGCTTGCACAATGTTTGAGTCATCCTGAGCAGCTGAGGTAGTGGAGACCTTTGTCCTGTACAGCTCCTCTTCCTCCTCCTCTTCCTCCTTCCCAAGAGCTGAGAAGTGGATGGTGATGGTGTCCTTTGATGGCGATCGCTGGACATGGAGCTTGGGGGACAAGGCAGGCGGCTGTTTTTCTGTGGAGTGAGCACTCTCTGCATGGCTAGGATGCCGGCTAGTCATTGCAGTACTCCCACTGAGTCACAGTCTGCAAAGAACAAAGAAACATGACACTAAATTAGGACTGGAATGATTAGTCAGTTAATTCATAAGTTGATTGTCAAAAAGTAATCGCCGTTGGTGATGGTTTTGGTCAATGAAAAATCGCTTCAGTCATTTTTTAAAGAAAAGTGCCAAAAGATTCTCTGATACTAATATCTCAAATGTGAGGCTTATGTTGCTGTTCTGCATCGCGTATGATAAAAAATTAAATATTTTTGGGTTCTGGATTGTTGGTTTGACAAAACATGACATCTGAAGATGTCTCCTTTGCACACTGGGCATTTTTCACTATTTCTGACGTTTCACTGACAAAGCGATTCATCAGTTATTTGACGCAATTAGCATGTTAATCTATAATGAAAACAGTTGTTAGTTGCAGGCGCATACTAAATTCAGTATATCTGGAAACAAGACTGACTGTAGCTTTTTGAATAATTTTTAGTTTTTTTGACAAATTGTAGTCTTCAGTTGAGGTTGATGTTGTATGGTTCTAATAATGTGTATGTATGTTCAAAATGAATCTAAAACTTAGAAAAAACAAAATTCTTAACCTGAAAAATTTACTTACACACAGTCTATGTACAAAACATTATAAAAATGTCACAACTTGACTTGAGTACAGAGCACCAAAATGATCTACCCATTATCAAAGTAGGCCTAAATGAAATGTAATATACAGTCAGGTCCATAATTATTTGGACAATGATACAGTTGTCATCATTTTGGCTCTGTACACCACCACAATGGGTTTTAAATGAAACAATGAATACCTGCTGAAAGTGCAGACTCTCAGCTTTCATTTAAGGCTTTTTTCAAAAACGTAGTATGAACCGTGTAGGAATTACAACCATTTCTTCACACAGTCCCCCAACTTTAAGGGCTCATAAGTATTTGGACAAACTAACAAAATCATCAATTAAACAGTCAGCTTTAATACTTGGTTGCAAATCCTTTACAGTCAATGACTGCCTGAAGTGTTGGACGCATAGGCATCATCAGATGCTGGGTTTCTTCCCTGGTGATGCTCTGCCAGCCCTTTACTGCAGCCGTCTGCACTTCCTGCTTGTGTTTTGGGTGTTTTGCCCTCAGTTTTGGCTTC